AGCGGTGCGCAAGTGTAAGCAATTTTGTCTACGGAGAAGCTGGCAAACTTCAGAACCGTCCGCTTCATATAGTACCCGATTTTCATCCCATCCATCCCGAAGATCATGAAGCCTATCAGAATAAATGTTCAGTGGGAAGCCAGGAATGTAGAGAACATTTTCAAGGACAATCTCATTGACTGAATCATCTTGCCGGAGAACGCGAAGCTTTAAGTAGCTAAGCCCGATAGGCTGAACTGGACTTCCACCTATTTTAACAATAGGCAACCCAGCTACTGGTTGATAACTGAAGAAGGCATTTATGTCATTGGTGATATGAACTGAAGCACCATCATCATGGAGTGGTTTGATTATGAGCGTGCGGAAGATATCTTAATGGACAAATATGGGTGACTAGCGATGTGAGAGGAGAACAATCGTGTGAGCTGGGAGCAATGAACTAATGTGTGCAGACTTCAGTTTCTATTCTCAAGTCGGAGGTGTGTACTCTATAATCTATGTACATGGTTCGGCTAGTTTACTAAGCTAGCTCCTGACAAATTCCTTGGCACACCGTAACATGGAGCCAGATATCACGAGAACTTGCAGCCGGGACTGCTGCAGCAAATGCGGAACGAATTCCAGTTCTGGTCGAACACAGTTGATGATCCTCGTTGCGAAAATTAAATTTATGTTGGTGTAGCTCTATCTGAGATGGGGACACTGTAATAGTCTTTCGTTGACTTTTCACGAAAGAATTGTAGGTGGGAGTTGATGGTGTTCTCAAAACTCCCGCGCAACCCTATTGGAAAGGACTTGGATTAAAATCCACAAAATATGGGTTAGCAGCTGTATAACTTGAGGATGATTGTGATGGAAAAAGTGCTGGCTGAACGCGGTCGGTGGTATCCTTTCGAAATGGATCATAGTTCTCAAAACGGGCATCAAAGCCAGAGTAATGAGTGGAAATTTTGCTAGGTGGGTGACGTTTTTGAAACTCAGAACGCCACTTTTTATTTTCGGTATAATTGGCCCTAGGAAATCTCTTCATGTACTCGGCACGCTATTCTGGGTATTTAAAGAAGCATTTCGTGTCATCATGCGGACCAGTACACCATTGGCAGTTGGGACCATCCCACTTCTTGTTTCTCTGAAACTTGGGACCTGTAACATGAGCTTGTGCGAGAGGTACTGGAGTAGGCGCTATGCTCTCAGCCAATCTAATGTGGTTTTGGAGAGTTGTATATAGAGTGTCAAGTGTAGGAGCAGGATTGACAGAAGGCGAAACAGAGAAGTGGTATCTTTGGGTGGATGCCCATTGAGGGTATTTTATGGAAACCGCACAGGTTAACACCAGACAGTATACAATAGAGGGAAGAGGTGTACCGAGAGAATGAAGACTAGAGACCATCGATTTTTGAGCCAGAATATAAGCCTGGCAGGATGAATACTTCTCGAAGTTCTCTGTGAGGTCGAGGAAGTCTGTGATACTTGTTTCAACAGTATTGCTGCTGTTCCCTTTAAGAAAGCGACAAAGCTTTTTGTAGCTGTAGCCGGCTAAATTTTCGGCCATAACAATCTGAATGAATTCCGGATCGACGTTGATTGCCAGTGTCATTTTGACAAGCTCGTTTGAGCTGGACCAATCTTTAGAGCCAGTTTCCTTTTCAGAATTGTAGATAGCTTCAGTCTTTATTAGGTCGATCCAATCTGAAAGAGCGTTTTGTCGCAAGGTCGATTTGATGAGAAGCATCCAGTCTTTCAGTTTAGAGCTGCCATGAAACTTTAACGCTGGAGGAAGTGCCATGTCGTTGGCGCGAAGATTAGATGAAGCCATTTTGAGGAATGAAAGATTCAAGATGTGAAAGTGGCTAGCCAGAGATACCTTGTTCGATAAAAACTGAAAGGTAGAGGCGCAGATGTAGATACAAAACAAGGACACCATCGTACTAGAAACTGATTGGTGAATGGAGTCGTAAACAGAAGAACAACGGAAGAATAATTTGTGATTCTACAGGAAGCGCAAGGGTCATAACCTCTTAAGAAAGATGCGTGGGACACAGTATTACGTTTTAAATGTTGACTATAGAGCACTATAGCTACAGATGAAATCTGAGGGAGTTCTCTCAACACCTATCAGTGGTGTTCCCTTCGAATCTTCAGCTCTTACTGTAGAGTCTGTAGAGCCGAGATTGAGTACTAAAGTTCTCACTCCGACGAGGCTTCCCAATCTCTTTCGCCGTCTGTATCGTCTTCATCTCTCAACACACTCCCCTATCGCCATTATCATGAAACTAACCACGATCAGATCAGATGGTAGGGTCGGAGCCCTACTCATCACCAACCCTTGATCATGGAGGAAAAGCCATCCGATGAGTTTCCGGAGCGTACCCAGCACTCGATACAGAGATGGCGCATTGGATCAAGTCGACCTCGACTGTTACAAAGAAGGAAGATGTAGATGAATATGCGCACCTCATGTGGTCCGGGTGTCTAGGCCTCGCCTGGCTGGGCCTGCGGGTTTTTTGAGACTTTTTCCCGCGCACGCAGTTTCCATTGCTACCATATGTTTTTTTATTTTTGGGTAGAAGGTTCCGTGGAAAAGGGCAGTGTGACGGAAACCGAGTTGTTGATGAATAAATCGATTTATGAAACTATATGAAGGGAATAGAAATCTCTATCAACTACTAACAGGTACTTATAACGTTTGGTCCGCTTCGTGAATCTGCTGACTGATAACTTCCCCCTAGGCCTAATACTTGCTACCGAGCCAAGTATTATCAGGAGCCATTACGCTATGATGTTGCTTCGACCTCCTGGGTAGTAGTGCCATTTCATCCATATTTGCCCATCCTTCCTCTTTCAGTCTTATTGTAATTATTCCTAATTAAAAGCTTAGGTTTCCTCCTAAGCTAAAACAACGGTCAAACCGTAACAGGCGGCCTAATTCCACGCGTAAACACTGAACTGAATGGCCATTCATCACGAGCAATATATCAATAATCCCGGTAGACCTTTAAAAATAAATAAAATATATCAATAATCCTTAGGATATGATTCCTTTCGACGGGTGATACAGTAGTAATGGAAGTAGAACTGATAAAGTATAGGGCAAATAGAATGTGTATATCTCACAGCATGCGCTGGATCAATTTTTGTTGCGACAATGTTCCTACTTATATGTGTCTACCAGCCTAGTCTACACTCTAATAAGGGACTAATAATACAGGGTATATAAGATCTCCAAATGCCTTACCATTTCACTCCTTATTTAACATTTACCACAAACCTAACTCCATTATGTTGAGGGTATAAGAATGAATATGTTTGACCAAGGCTTTTGTAATTCAACAATAATCTTGTAAGTAACAAAAGAGGATAGGAGCACTGTAAAAGATGTGGCCTGGGTTAGAAAGGAGCCTAATTTGCTAGACAATTATAGACTCATGTGTGTGACGGCTTGTGAGCCAGTAAGTCCTGTAGCCTTCGTTGGCTATCGAAGGCAACCTATATTCTTGTCACGGACTGACTGATGTTGAGACGGTATCCTGCCAACCTCTGGCTCTAAGACTATGTTGCTACTGCTATGTCATGGATAGATTCATGGTGTTGAGGTAGAGTCTGATCCTAGCTTCTGCTGGTATCCCTCTAGACAAGTTCTAGTTACTTCGATGGCGTTCTAAGCTATTCTAGCAATTAGTTTCCAGATATTTCGGGATGGTATTTTGTACTCTTACCAGTTCACTGAGCTTCGATCAGATTCTAGGTCACTCTCAGGAGTTCGACAGGAATCGGGCTGGAACTAGATTACTGTAGTCTGTAGCAGAAAGTATCGAAGTATAAGTAGCTGAGGTATCTTCATGTAGAAAGCTCTCCAGCTTTCAGTCTTGTATTATTCCTTTGTTATTCAAGAATCAAGAATCAAGAACCTAGACTTTTGTTAATATATCATCTTCACCATCAAGAATCCAAGATCTTACGCCTACCTTTCTCAAGTTAAGTGACCAAGTCCCAGAGAACCTGACAATTCTCTATCACTCCGAGGATTATCAGCAGACGAAAGCTGATACGAGATCGCCACTGAGGCTACGTAAAGGATAGTGCCAAGAGTATCGGAAGCGTTACCCGTGTGGCAGAACAAAGCTTAAGTCAGTTTCATTGCCACTGTAATCGTAGGCTAGATTTCGATACCTCTGGATGTGTATAAGTAGTAGAGTAGACTTGCAGGTAGTTTGCTTCTACAAAGATGAATTATAGCTTTACCTTTCAATCATACAAATGCCCATTCGCTTTCTATATTCGAACTGTAACAATGTGGTACAATGAACAGACATCACATAATCTTCCGAAAGATTCAGAATAACACAGGTCAATCAACCAAATCCCTCAGCTAGGGTTGGATGGTGTAGTGGTTCACCATCCGTGCCGTTCTCCCAAGTGGATACTGGGTAGCTTGAACACCCACCCCATTCGGGACAGGAGAAAGCTGGTTCGAATCCAGTAAAACCGACTCACCAATCTCTCTCGCGGTGATATTGTACTTGTGGAATGATGAAAGCATACTCAGATAGACACAGGTTTTTCACGCTTTTCCTTGTGGCGGGTATGCACGGAAGAGGTTATACGCCGTAAGGGTTAACCTCGATTGGAATCTGCAAATGAAATTTAGGTGTAAGTGTTCTATACGTCACATTGAGTGATCCTACTTAAAAGTACATATCTTCCGATAAAAATCTGCACGAGCCTTAAGGCGCCAAATCAGGGTCATGAATTATAAATATATAAATCCCTCAGCCAAGCAAAAGGTACTCTGCTATCATGAAATAAGCTTTTATTAGTGAAGGAATTGTCGAAATGAAGTTCTGTACGCCCAACCATGTCATGGAATACGACCTGGATCCTGCAGCCTTAACAAACAAAATCCACATATTGAAATGCTTGAAGAGAGTCCCGGCAAATGTATGGTAATATCAGACTCTTCCGGTAAATATCAGCCAGCCAGTCAACGAACACTCTTTTGGCTCTCGCCGACAGGAATATTAGTGCAGGATGAATTCAAATATACCTCCATCACAAACACCCAGATACCTCTTCATCTAAGTGTCATCGAACCTTTGTTGAAAGTTTCGAGCGACTTACCATCTTCGGCCCAAATTTCAGTTCCATTGGACGACACTCTCCAAATGAAGCTGATTAGCATTGCTTCCACGACAGCTTTGGCGGGCCTTTTGTTGTTGGTGCCTGCTGCATATGGGGATCGACATCAATGTAGTTATGGAAAAGCATTTTCCATCTCAGAAATTCAAAATAAACTTGAATATGGCAATTTTGTAGATGCTAGACCTGGCGACCCTACAGATCCCGACGGCATAAAATTTTACGCAATGCGATTTGACATGATGCCAGTACTTGGAGGTCAGTTTTCCATTGCCTATGGCTTTGATATCACTAACAGTTGTTCTCTATGAACAGTGACTATTACATATTTAATCCAAATCGTTTACGAACCTCCATACTATCGATTCTATGAGAAAACCTCATCAGGATGAGCACCGTGTCCCCTCCAAAATTAAAATTAACAGTATCCAGTTTACCCGGTAATTTGTGTCAAGGTGGAATCTAGTAATAGAGATTTGCACCAAACTCAGTCACAATAGGTTAGAAATGAGCGTTTACCTCGAAAACATAGCCTGCCAAATAGCATATTCTCCTCGGCGAGAGCTTGCAGACCTTTCAATACACGTTTTATGTTTCCTAGCGACAACTGCACTGACGCACTCGGCGGCTTTGTGAACAAATATCTAAGCTGATTGTAAGATTTGTGCATATCCACAACGTAGATTTCATCGCCATCCCATAGAGTCTAATGATTGTGACAGTGCAGGTTGATTGCCATACCCTTCACATCCAGAGCTCATGGCCAACGGTGATACAACTTTTGGAAACACATGGGAGGTTTTCGGGGGGAGAGTATGACTCGTATTTTTTAAAAAGCAATAATTGTCTGTTTGGATCAGGTTGTAGTTGGCAATTTCTAACCTAATTGTGTTAGATTGCAGGCATCTGTCTTGGGTATTCATGGGTTCGTAATTGTTACAGGCTGCGCCTATCTCCTAGTGACTGTCGCACGGACACTTATCATTATTACGTCATTAGCCTTGCTATTTAGAGAGATGTCCAACTTGGCCATACAAATACAGGGTTGCAACAAATATGGAAACAAGATATTGTTGCAGCAAGTCTCATATGGAATCATGGGCCGATACGACCCAGATTCGCTATGACGAGCCCACTCGGAATATCAAGGATATGATGTAGTAGAATAGATAGTGAGGTTAGCGCATTGGGAGTTGGGACACCTTAAGTAGCATCCCCTCGGTGGACAGTTCCGAGATGTATGTAGAAAATAGACAGTAATCGGCCACCATTCCTTTACTATATTGTTTTGTTGATCGCCCATCACATATTTTCTACATCATCCTAACATTGTAGTTTATCCCATTAAACAACAAAATTTCCGGTCAACCAAAGACTAGAAGAGAAGATCAAATCTTCTATGAGCTACCGAATCCCAAGTATAGATATTGATACCGATTCGACTGACAACGCTTCCTTTCATTCCAGGGCAAGTGAAACTATGTCGGAACAAGCTAACGTCAGCGGTGCCCATTACGGCCAACCGCAAAATACGGTTCATGAGCAACTAGGCGAACCCTCAGAGTTCGAAGAGCAACAGAGCCGATCTCCTCACCAAGCTGGGGACATTCCATCATTTAATCCGTCGTCACCTCAATATCAGGCGCTATATAATCAAATTATAGCAGATATCTCTCGCCGTCAACCCCTATTGAATGCGCAAAATTTTCCACACGCAACATCAACTCAGCCACAGTACAAAAAGCCCAGCAAGTGGCCTTCGTGGGACGGCTCAATCACTACTCTATCATCTCATATTTATCAGCTGATTGTTAAAGTCGAAGAAGATAAACTTCAGCTAGGGTCGGATCGCGCTATATGTCTAGGGATCCTGAATTCCATACCAGCAGATAAACAATCCAGAGTGAGTCACTGGTTTGAGACAGGAGGCCCTTCAGGAATGCACAACTGGAAAGATTTTGTCGAACATATCAAGCTTGAATTCGAGGATAAACAAGCCCGACAGACTGCAGGAGATCTACTTTATCGGATGCGTATGGGTTCCAATCAATACTTCTGCGACTTCTTTCAAGATTTTCAGGTTAAGCTTGCACAATGCGGGGGAACTAATTGGCCTGACAGCAGCAAGATCATGAAACTTAATTCAAGTATTAACGAATCGCTGAGTGACCATCTGGTATCCAAAGATCTACCTGATGATGATTTCGAAACATGGGTTTCTATGGTCAAAAGAGTAGCGGGACGACTCGAAAATCGACCATCTTATCGACCAACAGGCTGCACTGGCAAGAAAACTTGGTATTTGTCTCATAAGCAATCCAAGTACCATTCCAGCACAACTGACCGATATCTTCACGCACCAGACCTTGACGATGAAGGAGATACCAAGATGGGGGGAGTTAATGCTATTGAGGCTCTCAAACTAGCGCTAAACTCCCTAAATAGTCGAAACATTACCAACAAGCCCAGGGCTAAATGGCGTTCCCCGGAGGAATTTAAAAGTTTGTGTAGCGAGGGAAGATGCGTCCGATGTCGAGAAAAAGGTCATTTATCTCGCGCATGCACTAAATTCGGTCCAGCTCAAAATCTTGCTTCAAGGATCGCCTATGTAAAAGGCCCCACGAAGATAAGGAAACAGAGCCACGCAGAAGAAAAGGTCAACTATGAAGAGTTGGAGACCAGTGAGGTTTCGGGGGAAGAGTAAGCTCTGAGCAACGTCGCGCTCAGAGCAAGGGAGAATCATTTGCCATTGATTTAGTTAAAAAAACAGATAAATTGAACAGTACTCCATTTTTAATAGATTGTCTGTTAAATTCAAGTTTCTTTGTGCAATCTTTGATTGACACAGGCTGTCTCTGTTATGCTGCATTTTCTAATGAGATCGTGAAGAAATGGGAACTTCCGCGCATAAAAATACCAAAAAGATCCTTGCAACTAGCAGAAAATGATGGGAAGCAAAGAACAATAAACGAATTGACTTTTGCAGACTTCGATATTGACGGTAGACGAGAAAAGGTCTATGGATATATTATCCAAGACCTTTCCTACGATATTATCCTGGGAAAACCATGGATGGAACAAAATGATGTCGTCTATCTTGCAAAGAAGCGAGTGATTCGATTTGGTTCTCAGAAGTATGGACAGGTTGTCAGAGAAAAGGGTTGGTATGATAACATTGCCTCATTGAAGTTAAAAAAAGAAATACACCATGTTGCTACAGCTAAAAAAGTATTGGGTGGCAAATTTATTTCACTAATGAAGCTTGCTAAGGTGGAAACAGGATCAAAGATTTTCGCCATTACAATGCAAGATCTTAACAAGGCTCTGGAGATAAAAAGCGAAGAAACATCAGAGGAAATAAGAAGGACACTTCCTCCTTCCATAAAACATTGGTCCAATCTCTTTGTCGAAGACAGACAAAGTAAATTACCCCCACATCGACATTCCGATATGAAAATCGATTTAGAAAGAGACGAACAAGGTAGAGAAAAATCTATACCTTGGGGCCCACTTTATGGAATGTCAAGAGATGAACTCCTAGTTTTAAGGAAAACGCTAAATGATCATCTCGATAAAGGATGGATCAGAGCCAGCAGCTCGCCAGGAGGAGCACCAGTGCTCTTTGTTAAAAAGCCAAATGGGGGTTTGAGATTCTGTGTAGACTACAGAGCCTTGAACGCAATCACAGGAAAAGATCGGTACCCACTACCACTGATAAGAGAAACTCTGAGATCAATATCAAAATCGACATGGATGACCAAAGTTGATGTTCGCGCTGCATTCCACAAACTTCGAGTTAGGAAGGGAGACGAAAAAAAAACTGCTTTTCGGACAAGGTTTGGCTCCTTTGAATGGCTAGTCACTCCCTTTGGGCTACAAGGAGCTCCAGCTGCATTTCAGCGGTACGTAAATGAATCCTTGGGAGATTATCTTGACCAGTTTTGCACTGCGTATCTTGATGATATTCTTATCTACACTTCCGGAGATCTCCAAGATCATTGGGTTAAGGTTGAATCTGTGTTCAAACGTCTAGACATAGCCGGCTTAAAACTGGACCCAAATAAATGCGATTTTGCAGTGAAGAAAACAAAGTATTTGGGATTTGTTATAAGCGCTGGTGAAGGAATTAAAGTCGATCCTGAAAAAGTTAAAGCCATAAAATCATGGGAAATTCCGACAACCGGAAAAGGAGTTCGTAGCTTTTTAGGTTTCGCAAATTTTTACCTTGAATTTATCCCCAACTTCAGCGAAATTGCACAGCCTCTTATCAACTTAACGAAAAAAGATCACGCTTTCCTGTGGCTTAAAGAGCACCAAACATCGTTCGATGTTCTGAAAAAGCTATTCATTACGGCCCCAGTACTAGCTCTCTACGATCCGGATAGAAAGACAATTGTAGAAGCGGACTGCTCGGGATATGTTATGGGGGCGTGCTTGTCGCAATACGACGATGCAAAAGTTCTACGCCCAGTAGCATACCTTTCAAAAAAATTAAGTCCCGCAGAATGCAACTACGAGATTTATGACAAAGAATTGCTTGCGGTTGTCTTGGCTTTAAAAGAATGGAGAGGCGAGTTGATGGGCCTCAAGCATGCATTCGTAATTTTTTCAGACCACAAAAATTTGGAGTATTTTATGACCACAAGAAAATTGTCCGAGCGTCAAGTTCGATGGAGCCATACTCTCTCCCAGTTTAATTTTAAGCTAAAATTTAGAACAGGAAAGAATTCGCTGAGACCAGACGCACTTTCACGTAGGGAACAAGATATGCCGAGCTGTGCAAGCGACGAGCGGCTGAGGAGTCGCCAAGTACAATTAATCAAAGATGCATGGATGAAAACAGATACCGACTCTAACAAGTTGGTAACCTCTCAAATCACCTCAGCTTCAGTCTACCTAAATATCCCTTCAGAATCTGGCACTGAGATACAGTTGCCCGATGGCAATTGTATCTTTCAAAAAGAAGAACTTCAGATACTTTGGAATAGAGGTTGCGAAGAGGACAAAGGCATAAGAACCATGTACAAAGCTCTGCGAGATGGTGAGCGGGCCTTCCCGACAGAACTTAAGCTGAAAGTATCAATCTCAGAATGCGATTTTGATGAGAGAGGCGTCCTTAGATTTCGTCGTCGTATATGGGTACCAGACTGGGAACCCCTACAGACAGCTGTGATACAAAATACGCACGACTCGTATATAACGGGACACCCAGGTCGTGATAGTACATATGCTATCTTATCAAGGAGTTTTTTTTGGCCAGGGGCATCGACGATGGTAAGAACTTTCTGTAAAAATTGCGATGTTTGTGGACGATCTCACGTATGGCGAGAAAAGAAAAAAGGATTGCTCCTACCGCTACCGATACCTAGTCGTTTCCATTCAGAATTGTCAATCGACTTTATGACGGATCTGCCAGCAAAATCTAGACAAGATTCTCGATATCTCATGGTGATTACAGACCGACTATTGAAAAGTTGCACCCTTGAAGCTATGAGCTCAATGTCAGCAGAATGCTGTGCTGAGCGGTTTTTACACTGTCACTATTGTTTTCATGGATTTCCATTATTTTTAACTTCTGATCGTGGTTCAAATTGGGTTGGAAATTTCTGGACCCATCTATGTAAGTTAGTAGGTATAGAGCAGCGTCTTTCCACGGCGTTTCATCCTGAAACGGATGGAAGTACAGAGAGGATGAATCAGGAAGTGTTGGCATACCTTAGATCTTTTATATCCTACGCTCAGTACGAATGGCCTGATATGCTTCCGTCAGCTATGCTAGCTCTTAATAATAGAGACACAGTCATCGGTCTTAGTCCTTTTTTCCTCACACACGGTTATCACGCAGAACCTATCGAACAAATCCCGCCCCCTTCCAAAAATTCCGATGCACCTGAAAAGAAAGCCAGGGAATTTGTACAGCGAATAACAGATGGACAGGAATATGCACAAGCTGCCATGGCATTTGTCCAACAACGAATGGAATCAGCATCTAATCAAAAGAGGCTTCCGCAAGAGAGGTTTGAAGAGGGAGACCTTGTTTGGTTAAAACTAAAAAATATTGAGACGCCACAACTTAGTAAAAAGCTCTCATGGGTTAACGCAAAATATCGCGTCCTCAAAGTTATATCCCCTCATGTAGTCGAACTTGATGTCCCATCGGGTATACATCCGAGATTTCACGTCGATTTGTTAAAACGAGATCCACAAAACCCCCTTCCGTCTCAAATTATGTTAGACGAGCAACCACCGCCGCTTGTGAATCCTGATGGTGACAATGAGCAATTCGTTGAAAAGATTCTCAGAGCCGAAAAGAGAAAGAAAGGTCGGGGCTTCCGAAGGGAGGTGTTGGTAAAGTGGAGAGGTTTTCAAGAGCCAAACTGGGAATTGCGCCAAGGTCTCGAAGACACGGAGGCTCTTGATATCTTTGAAGAAAGGTACGGTATTGGTGATGAGGTGGGAGAAGATGTCGGGGCAAGAATAGGTGTTACTGGCAAAAGGCAAAAAATTCTTACATCTGAAAAAAAGAAACGAGTAAAAAAAAAAAAAGTACTGTGAGGAGGGGATAATGTTACAGGCTGCGCCTATCTCCTAGTGACTGTCGCACGGACACTTATCATTATTACGTCATTAGCCTTGCTATTTAGAGAGATGTCCAACTTGGCCATACAAATACAGGGTTGCAACAAATATGGAAACAAGATATTGTTGCAGCAAGTCTCATATGGAATCATGGGCCGATACGACCCAGATTCGCTATGACGAGCCCACTCGGAATATCAAGGATATGATGTAGTAGAATAGATAGTGAGGTTAGCGCATTGGGAGTTGGGACACCTTAAGTAGCATCCCCTCGGTGGACAGTTCCGAGATGTATGTAGAAAATAGACAGTAATCGGCCACCATTCCTTTACTATATTGTTTTGTTGATCGCCCATCACAGTAATTAAGGTTATTGTTAAGGTTTAGCTTCGGTTATCTCACTGATTACCGAGCCAGCAGCATATCAAGGAGGCTTGTAGCTCAGGTGGAAGTATTGCACGGTAAACTATATCTGAAGCTGCTACGTATTGTAGTAGCTAAAAGAATACTGCTATTCGGAAACTACAGCTCCATCCCAGAACCATGAGATAAATCAGGCTATGCACGCTAGATATAGAATGGCTAGCGGATATGGTGTATATGGGGGTAAATTTATAGATATATAAAGACATTGTTGCCTCTACATTGTAGGACAAGCCTTCAACCAAATTATATCGGAATCAATCCCAGCCTCTCATTTCGCAATGTGACTTCCGCATAGCTCATAACCACAACAACTAGTGGGTCTACCAAGTAGGCCCCATTAGTATAATTTTATCCTCTTGGTTGAACCAATGAATAATTTGCACATAGTGTTCCTAACTTCTTGGTCACGAAAAAAATCTCTAATGTACTGTCAATTAGAAACATGATTCATTATTTTATATTGCCAAGTCATCAATGACTCTCTCCCAGTGAAAGAAGAAACATAATTTACTAGGTACTAGAAATCTAGTCAAGATCCTAAAAATACTCCCTAGACTAGGAGAATTTCACAGAATAGGCAACTATTACAGGCTGCGCCTTAAATCCACGTACTTGTGTCCATCCATGTAAGTGATCGCCGATCGGGCAAATACGAGTTGTTGATGGACCACCGCAAGAGTGCGGATTATCTCGGATCCGATGGATATTAACCTCTCTAGGGTCAGAGTTACAAGTATATACGTCCATGAGTCTAGATAGATACTATTTCCTAGATAATTAGTAGATAAGCTGTATCACGGCCAGCTTACTTTGTTCTTATTGTTTTGGTGTTAGCCCATCATGGTAGAGAGAGAGGTATGTTTGTTATACTACTTGAGTCATAGACTATCTAGCACATTGTGCTCCTTGCCTCTTTTGTTACTTGAAACATCATTGATATATTCTCCTTGATGAATAGCCATTCAGCTCAGTATTTACCCGTGGAATTCGGCCACCTTTTCCACGGAACCTTCTACCCAAAAATAAAAAAACATATGGTAGCAATGGAAACTGCGTGCGCGGGAAAAAGTCTCAAAAAACCCGCAGGCCCAGCCAGGCGAGGCCTAGACACCCGGACCACATGAGGTGCGCATATTCATCTACATCTTCCTTCTTTGTAACAGTCGAGGTCGACTTGATCCAATGCGCCATCTCTGTATCGAGTGCTGGGTACGCTCCGGAAACTCATCGGATGGCTTTTCCTCCATGATCAAGGGTTGGTGATGAGTAGGGCTCCGACCCTACCATCTGATCTGATTGTGGTTAGTTTCATGATAATGGCGATAGGGGAGTGTGTTGAGAGATGAAGACGATACAGACGGCGAAAGAGATTGGGAAGCCTCGTCGGAGTGAGAACTTTAGTACTCAATCTCGGCTCTACAGACTCTACAGTAAGAGCTGGAGATTCGTAGGGGACACCACTGACAGGTGTTGAGAATAGTCTCCCTGGACTAGCGGGAACTTCTTAGATGTATAAGTCCAATGTTCACATTGTTGTAAAATATTTGGGTCTTTACTACATCAGATATATCCATTCATTATCGTACAGAGTATATTTTCCAACAGAAAGCTGCCGGCTCCACCGAGCCTTCACCCATTGTGGATAAAGAGCTTTAGCTTAGGAGCTATTAGGAACAAAAAAAACAATCAACGTCTACTTTGTTTACCATTGGCAAAATTTGAGGATAACTTGCCATTCCATTAGCATCTGACAACTGGTGGTATCTGACTTTTAACATGTAGAGATTGTTAGAAATTGTCAAGGATTTCTAGGAGGAAATATCCCGAAGAACAAGTGTACAATTTCGGACAAGAATTTCTTGATAGTTGTTTAGGTTATCAAACTCTCTTAACAATATGAATTTATAATATGTAGTAATCCTTTATCTCAGTTTAACATTTATAGATGAGTCTATCCTTAAATATAAATCCCCAAGGCTTTGGTGATCCTGAACTCCCAGTGATGTAGCAACAACCAGCCACTCAATTATCGCAAGGAAGCATTTCCTAGCCACTGCATTCCAGATACCGCTGAACCTTTTGTTTCCCTGCCAAGCTTAACCATATGCAATCGGATCCATTGAGATGATCATACTTGAAAATCTAAACCTTCATATATACCAAGTCTAGATTTCCAACAGAGATCAGTTAAAAGGCATCAAATAGTGTAGCCCACAGATGCTAGAAAGATGGACCGCCACAAGAGACATCTACAGTAACCCAGGCTTTGCAACAAATATCATATACTGTAACGGCTGCTAAGGCTAAGGATTCCTGTAGCCTACGCTGGCTAGCACAGGCAATGAAAGCAAGGGAATCTTCGGGATGGATCTCGGAATACAAGGATCTTAGAAGATTCTCAATGAGCCTTCTAGAAGCACACTGAAGGCTCGTCAGGATGACAAACGTATCGAGAATCTTCTGGGCAATCGTCAAACAGTCCATATAATTCTAGTCATAGGGGGAACGTTATAGGAGGGGAACATTTCACAGTGTATATATATATGTAGTCTAGCTGTAGAGACTCTATCTCCATGGAAGTATTATTCATTTACTGTAATTACAAGATTGCCCATGCATTTTGTACTTAAACCGTGACACATACCTACAATACCAAAAGTGTTCTTACGATTCATGGAAGATTGGATAGGTCTACCAAGCCAGCTTCATACCTAGGCAAAATAACTCACCTCTGCTGGTAGAATTAAGATTGTATTTTGGTCAAATATCCACTGAAGAACAGGCCACATTGTCATAGCTTGGCTCATTGAATCAACTGCTCAAGATTGTCATGGATCAGGACTCGGGAGCTACCGCGTCAGTTAATTTAAAAAGCACACAAGGATATGTAACGTGGATTTTTCGAAAATAGAAGTAAATCAGAGTCCATATTCTAAACATCGTCCATATAATCAACCAACGCTCATTTGATTCCGTCGACAGAGACACTGCCGCAGAGTATTGTCATCAATTATCCATCGGACGTCGGTGATAATATCGAGCGGCTTGCTGTTTGAAGTCCAAATCTCGGCTACATCAGAACGCCATACTCCCCATGAAGTTTCTCATCTCTGCCTCAACGGCCGCACTAGCGGGCCTTTTGTCACTAACGCATGTTGCACTTGGAGAAGACTATTTTAAATGTAGTCATGACCAATTATTTCACATGAGTTTCCTAGAATACAAAGCTGAAGATTACGATCTGAAGAATGCGAAAGCTGGCGATCCTACAAATGCTCAGGGCCAATTTTACAAGACAGTTCGAGTAACGCGGATGCCAGAAAGAGACTGTAAGGTATCTCTTCCACCAAAATTTCTGTCGTTTACCATTCTTTTCGGTGAAAAGTCTTCGTAAAATACCTAATTCAATTCATTGATGAAACTTCAACCTACCGCGTCTATGAGAAAATTAATAAGAATTGGAAACAATGCGCTTACGTAAAAGATACGAGTCGCACTCCATGGAGAAAGTGATTCGAATTAAAGCGGCATCTAGTAATGGAAGCTGGAAATGGAATAAGATGAAGAACATGGCCTTGCAAAACCCTTCGTGCTCGGATAGATCTTGCATGTCTGTCAGAAATGTGCGATTCATGAAGATAATAATGCGCCCTCAGTGATTGAAGTTGCAGAGCTTATGCACTCAACTACAGATGTGCAACTTGTGTCAGGAGACTGAGGACGTGGAGTCACAGCGATGACAGTATACTGTATATAGAGAATATAAGATTCGTTATAGTAATACAGAATGATGGATGTAAACGTGATACTGTCAGATTGCACAATCTTGTTCTAACCAGCCAGTTGTCTGAGCAGTATTTCCCAACATCTCCTTGAAAGTCTTGGGCATCTCAACTTCCAACACTTGAATGGATTTGGCACCTTAAATCGCCAGGAAATCCTCTTCCCATCGGGCGTGACCCGGGTTGTGGACTGTAATGGGTGCTCCATATATCACGTGATCTATCCCGTCATAAACTGTCTGTATAAGTAGTTAACAACACTTAATGAGCGTCTTTTGTCTCAGTAGGGACTTAATAGGGTTACTCGCTTGACGCGTGATCCGCCAGACGTTAAATAAAGATAATAACAACACTTAATGTAATATTCATGCTTCTTGCACATCATGGACCCCTTTGCTGACAAATCCACCTTGACGACCGGCCCGTTTAGGTCAGGAGAACCAAGTGGGCGAATAATTGGATAAGAAATTAGATTAGATTTTTGTTAGAGTCCCTACTGAGTCTATGACTATGGACGACTTTGTGAATCCAAATAAAGATCCTAATTACGTTTGAGAAATTTGATTTTGAAATATGCCAAAATTTGTTCTTGTGGATTTTGAGGGTCAAGCCCTTTGATTGGATTAGAAAATTTTCGCGAAAAAATCTCGTTCCTGGGGCTTCCAAGATAGTTCGGTGCTGCGATGAAGAGAAAATAACCTCGGCAGGAATATCCCATTCTCCGCAGATTTTTCGTTCGAATCGTCCTTTATCGACATAGACTCAGTAGGACCATGGATAAAATTCTGTTCGTCCGACGAGGGCTGTTACGGCGCGATTCAAAAATGAGTTGGATTTACCATCTTCGAGGTGTGAGGATGATTATTGGGGCTTAGAAGTGAGGAGGTATGGATCTAAAAGTGATAATTGTGGTAGCAAGATACCAAAGATGATCATCAACGGACGAGAATAATACAGATTGCGAAACTGGAGGTCCGGTTAGGCCATCTCTTGCGCTTCTGATAATGAGAAAAATTCATTATTGCAATCTCCGGCTCGTCCTTGAGCCATCTATCGCACTAGGGTATTTGAATTAAATTGTAAATCCCCGCAGATAATTAATCTGAGAAGCACTATGAGGACGCTTGCTATATTCCAAGTCCTAATCCCCAAAATCCTGTATGAAGTAGTTTTTGCAAAGCAATTTTTATTGAGCACGAGATTATTACTTTCCGCTCGCTGGTCTTGGAGATGATATTGTTGGCTGATGTGGGCTGGCCAAATATCCCGTTTGGCATCTCTGCCTCAGGCCAGAGCATTTAGGCCATGACAAATACACTTCTTTTTTTTTTTTTTTTTTTTTTTTTTGAATCATTTAATGTGTATTCAGCTATCTAGCTATGACACATGACCGGTGCTATGTATACATGTGGGATGACTCTTTTGACGTTAGAGACACTCATACTCTGGATTTCATTTGCAAATACCACTATGAGGTATGTTTGCTTACACAAACAGTCGACCCTCCTCCGTTAGTACCCACCAAAGGGAATTTAAAAACCTTTGATTATCCAAGCATGCCTTCGTCATCCATGCACACCAGCGCCGCGAGAAATGTGATTGTGTTTTGCCGGATTCGAACCAGCGATCTACTGTCTCAAGTGGGACATGTGTCCAAGCTATCCAGACTCTACTTGGCAGACCGGCCAAGACGATGTACCACCGCACCATCCAACTATGGCAGTATTTATAGTGTCGCCTGCACTCTCGCAGCCGAATTCTTGGCACGCACAAAGCTCAATTTGTAAAAACTCCATTCCAAAATTCAAAATTCCACGCCCGTCGAGACTGTATCCAATCCTCTGCATCATCTTATTAACTTGTCCTGATCCCTCTCACATCCATCCCAAGGAATTGTCTTCCAGATTTGTGCGCCACGCTTTGCTTCCTCCGTCGGGTGTAAATATCGGCGTGGGCGTGTATCTGGCGACCAGCTAAGGCCAGAGAAAGTCGACAAGAGGTGTGGTCATTGGGATTAGGATGTACTAGGTCCTACTTGTAAACTTGATGAGGTTTAGGTAGGAATCGATTTCGTTGGGAGTGAAAGATCGATATGGTGGAGTAATTTGAATCATTGCCTCGTGGGCCAACTTGTTCGGTATTGCGAAGTTTGACTGAACTTGGCTCTGGGAGAATATTTCACTCCCAGGTTCGTAGAGGACACCGCGTACAGGTGTTCAGTCTTGCCCTCCGACAAATACACTTCGCTAGAGTCTAATATTGCCACATGTATTCTCGGCCGTTCTTCCCTAGCATCGCTGAATCCCTTGGTGTCGGTTGCTACCCGGGCCTCCTTCACTTCTAAAGGTTGCGTCGACATTCTGCCAGGCGTCATTTAGTTTGGCAGGGATGTATGGCGAAGTTGTGATTGATCTGGTCACGATGTTCACTAACCAGGAAACAATTGCCTTTGTTTGCAATAAAACATGGCGAGTTCGCTGTAAACAGAGGCATTTTCACCCTCACAGATCATCTTATCATCCTAAACTGACCGCATCTCTCATCCCCGTCCCATTCTGGGAGTGACAATATGTAAAAGGACTAGTCACGCTAGCTGTTCGCACAAGTGAATCCAAAATAGAGTTTATATTCTGTATAATGAAAGGAGAATATGAACTACGCAATTAAGGATATGCTGAGCCTTACGTAACCCACCCAATCTTGGCTATCAAATAATGTCACGTGAACAATCATTACAAATATAATCAGACAACTCCGATTCTAACCATACAAGGCGGTAAGCCAAAACAGATTCTGCAATTACAAAGGGGTTGCGAAACCTTCATTATCATTACATCACACTTATTACATCTCACAGCATATTCTCATTTGTAGATTGTACTGTAAAGACCCTTCCGTTCTGGCTCCGATCAGAAACAACCACAAAAACATCAAACCCCCCCTTACCACCCTTCACAAGTCGCGTCAGAAACCGACAACTGTAGCCAAACCGACACCAGAATCAAGCCGCATCCCGCGCTCAGCGCGCGCGAGAGCAGCCCTCCCGACTATGGAGGGTCTTACCCAATCTCAGGCGGTAGAAGCCATTCCCTTCTATAATCCAGCTCTCAGCGATTGGGACACACCCGGGAGCAGCCAGCAGCTTGACATGGAGATCGATCCAATTAATTACGACGATCAAATCGAATACGACGACCCCATAGACGACCCATTTTCAGAGCCAGCTCCCGCGGGCCCAATGCAAGACACTCTGACCAAGAGCGTAAACTCTTTGACAGCCCGAGCAAAAGAAGCAGAGACCCTTTTTGGAGGTATTTCTGCACTAATCGACAAGCATAGCAGCGCACCCAACTACGCTACACTACCCGCCAAGCAAGCTGAAGCATTCAAAAGCCTTTGCAATGATTTAGCTAAAGTCGCAGCACGGCATTTCGATGCTTACCTCTGTGATAAGCCAGTGACCGTCACCATCGACGCCGCCACGTCCAACCGCAATGCCCCAAAAACTGCGCAGACCTACGCAAATGCAGCTTCAAGGGCGTCCAATAAGCAATTCGCCGGTCGCCACACTCCAACCCTCCAAACACCCGCTAAAGCGCGGCTTCAGCTCAAGCCCACCCGCACTGATGATCGTTTATTTGTCCGTATCCCGGAAGGTAATACACTCCGAGATCACTCAGCATACGCGATACAATCCCACCTGAAAGCTAAGCTTGGCAATGAGGGTCAGATTCTTACAAATGTGCAGTCAACAAAGACTGGTTTCGCTCTCTGCCCCAAAGACGGAGACTCAGAAAATCTCATGGAAAAGATAAAGTCCGTTAGTTTCTTCGGGGACGCACCAGTTGAGAAAGCAACACCATGGACTTCCTACCGCATAAAAAATGTTCCCCGGACATATGGAGCCCTGGAACACATCAACGAAGAATGGAAGTACTGCCTTAAGCCCGTCACAGCTGAGGCGTTGAAGGATGCCCTAGCCACGGCAGCTGGAGCGGTACCTGTAGCTATTGCGGCTTCTCGCGACAATGATGCTAATCCAACGTCCTCATCGACGACATGGATCGTGCGTTTCCCAGAATCACATCAGCGCCTGCCACGAACCCTCTTCCTCCTTGGCTACCGCACGCAGACAAGAATTTTGCCCAAGCGTCAGATGGCTGTCCAGTGCACCCGGTGCTGGCTCTGGCACAATACACGCACATGTGCCTCCGACCTCAGATGCCGCCTTTGCGGATCCTCCAGACACTCCGAAAAAGACCATGCCAATCAATGCGGCGCTACGGGCCAACATATATGTCCCAACAGATGTATCCACTGTCATGGGCCCCATCCCGCGGACGATGTCAGCTGTCACCTCCGGCCTAAGCCCTCCGGTCCTCCAAAGACCAAGAATCAAGTAACTGCTATCCGCCAGATTAACGCAGACGCTCGCCTACGGAAACAAGCAGAAGCTGGCTGTATCAAGGCTACGGCCAGCCCCAAAACCCCGCGTACTACGGCCGCAACTCCAGCTGAAATAGGCCAAACCCAGCCGGTTTCAGTAAAATCCATCAACCCCTACGAAGTTCTACTCACAGGGGATCAGAGCAACGACCAAGCGCAATCGTAATGACCCCTTTACGGCGCCGCAAACATAACAATTGCCCATTAAAAATAGTATCTGCAAATGTCGGCCGCGGTGCCCAAGCGCACGAGTTAGCTCTCAACGAAGCCAGCCTAGCCTCCGCT